CATATATAGTATATATATATAATATTTGTTATGTTTAAATTATATATAATTAATACTATACATATACCAAATAATAATTCTTTGATATTTCTTAATATATATAATTGATAATTAACTTATTAACTTTCTTACTGTAAATACAGAAAACCAATAATTTATATAATATTGGTGCTGGAAAAGGGAAGAATTGACAAAAAAAAAATTCTTTTACAAAATATTAACTATCTCGCGAACTATTAATCCATTTGATTCGTCTTATCGAGACGGATCGAATACCCAAATCATGTGTTCTGAATGATAATTCGCGAGATAATTAATATTTTTGTAAAGAATTTTTTTTTTTGTCAAATTCGTCCCTTTTTCCAGCACCAAGCCCATATATGTTAAATATATATAGTTAAATTAATATATTTTAAAGTTTAAGTAAATAATAAATTATCTTAGTAATCATCATTTAAAAACGGGAGTTAACGTTAATTTTTAAACCTTTTTAGTCTTGTTAAGGTCTTATCGATATTAAAGAAATATTCCGTAAAAATTTTATTTTAAGTGTTTCAAAAATTGGGTTCAAGTTAGCTAAACCAAAATACGTTTGACATAATGGTATACCCAGGCTAAATAAAAATAATTTACGGTATTATGATGAATTAAAGCAGGATTACCGATATAAAATTGGATTTATTATTCAGATAAAATTGACATGACACCTGTAAATTTGATAAAACATGCAGATTTCAAAAATTTTATCCAAATTGAAACTTTTACAATTATTCTCAAATGAAACACGATACATGCACATTAATTATTTCTCTATCATAGTTAGACTAGACTGAATAAATGCCAATTTTATGCACATAATCTTTCATTTTTTTTAGACAAATTTACTAAAACAATTTAATAATTAGTTATCATTAATGAAGTTTTTCCAACGAAGAATGAGAAATAATCAGACAAAGAAATGAAAAAAAAAAAGATTCTCTTCTTGAACATTAATTAACTATGCCTTTGCAGCATGCGGGAAAATATTGTCAACAAAGAAATTCAGCACTTGATTAGGGGAATAGGGATTATTTTTGAATATAATCAGAGTTTAAAGTTAACTTTTTACCTACAGAACATGATAAAATAACGGGGATGAATAACGCCATTTTCACATATTTGGGGATGAATATATATTAATAACTTTTGAGCATAATAAAAAAAGATCAATATGCAGCATACGATACATATACTGTTAAAATTTTAGTCGGGTTAAATAAACATGAGAATCGGAAAGATGTACTGTACACGTTATCCCTTGTTAGCATGCATTCTCATAACCTAAATATTTCAAGAAATGCATTTTATTCAACTTTAAATAATTATAGTACGTATATACCTGTATTTTAATTTTCGCAACTCCCACAGGCATGTACATTTTCACAAGAACGTTCTCAATCATTGATCAACAAAGTATCAACAAAGTATCAACAATCAACAAGGTTAATCGGATAAAAGTACCGAAATTACAGTTGAGATTAACCTATTATTAACCTAAACGTTAAATCATTAAGAATGTATAAATGAATCATATCTTTTTTTTTTTTTTTATAAAGCCTAAAAAATCATATGTAAAGATTATTTGTAGTGCATTATCTAGATTCGTGTAACTTTAGAGAAAACAAAAAGTTCCCTCGAAAGTATACCCACGAAATGATGTTCGTAGATCACATCGAAAAACAATATAACCTTAACCACGCATTGTAAGATATATAGTAGGCGTCACTATGATATTCGTTTGAAAAGAAGATCTTTTGCCATAAAAGAAGAACAATCAAAAATTGACAAGGGAGCACCATGAAAAATGAATATCGAAAATTTTCCCTTGTACTAGGGAATTAATCTTTTCGTCAGAAGAAAGGATGCCTAAAAAGAGCTTTTCAAAATCTTATCACTCAAAAAAACTATATATCACTATATATGGTGAATGATTGAAAAATGCTTTTTTTAGTATGTAATTTCAGTACCATGGACCTGAGATTAATCATTTTAATTATCATTTAGTTAGAATGTTTTTAATAAAGACTCGGGGTACCAAAGTTCGGGAACTTTGTATCTTCTTTCAAAATAACATTGATCGTGTGATGTGAGTATTGTTGAAAAACAAGACAAACTACATGATAAGGAATTACACAATATTATTTCGGTTAGGGTGCAGTACTCATTTCAAGAGTACAATTGTTCGAAGTGTATCACAGAAATTTTAATTTTAGAATGAACAGTAAGCACAAAATGAAAGTGATACGGAAGAAAAAAGTATGGCGATAGATAGCTAGTAAAGGTAAATTTGACGCATATTGTAACTCATCACTTTTTTGAATTAGATTGGAATTCTACTTTTTTTTTGAACTTTTCGAACATGACCTGATATTGATTAAAAGAGAAAAAGACAAATTTTGGCTTTTTTGAACATGACCTGATGTTGATTAAAAGAGAAAAAGACCGGTTAAATCATTTGCCAATATATCAAATTAGAAAATAGATCGATTCTACTTATGTATGTAGATTTAATAATTAGGATTAGTGGTCATAGCGATAGCAACTTTGCTCGATTTAATTTAATATAAGTCGAATGACCGAGCAAGAAATCCCTAATAAGTATAAGATTTACGAGAAACTATTTCGGATATGATTAGTTGATAAATATCTGAGATAATTTCGGAGGTCATTTACGGTCAGACGATTTACATTATGTAATGCGTGTTAATGAAATTTCCGACAACGGTTAAAAGGACGTTTTGTAAGTATCGGAGTAATAACTGAGATAAAATTGCATTATCCGGAGTAAGATAAATTTATACTAGTTTATTATTAAAAATTAAACATTTTAAGTATATATATATGTACAGTATATTAAAAATTTATATAAAAATGATATGCGTCAACAAAACATAAGGAGAATTCCAACAAGGAAAAAAAAAATATTCGTTATATATAGTAGATTAATATTGATATTTCTTAAGTTTACTAATTATAGGATTATCTTTTGAAACATGTTTCTAACTTTGATACGTACGTACGTACAGTACGTAAAATTCATAACGTTAAAATATTAAACGTTAATTTAATAGTTAATATTCTAGTATATAAAGTTAATAGTAAATTATTATATAAGAATATTATATAAATATTATATAATTAATGAAATCATTCTTTTATTCACCAATCCAAAGATGGATTCGTTGATGATTAAAAAATTCACATGAATGAAATTTCAACAATTGTTAGAAAATAAATATTGGGTATAAAAAAGGTTAAATTTATAGGTCAAATAATTAATAACAAGTAGAAAGAGCACTGAATTTGGAAAGTTTGACGTGTTTTATTTTCTCTAGTAAAAAACAAAGATGCGTCGTACGTACGAACATATGTGTATATTGTATATATTTAAATATATTTAAATACATTTAAATACATTAATAATATATAGTGTATCAATATCATTTTCCCGCCTGTGATTGTAAAAATAGCAAATTGGTGGACTGTGCCATCTTGTGTTCATTGTGTGGGGTAATGACTCAACCGTCATGCGTTTATTACATTACGTTGGGGAAGAAATAATATGAAATGATTTTTACATAATCCGAGACAAAGCCAAATAGATTCGTTTTAGTTCTAATTACTGAATATGAATTACGTATAATCTTTTCATTTTATAAACTAAAATTCATTGCGTATTGTTCATAAAAATTTTTTTTAGAAAAATTATATCCAAATAGATGTTATATATGATTGAATTCACTAGTTTACTTATCATCTACTATACATGCATGCGTTATATTTAACTGTTAAGTACGAACGTACGTACGTACGTACGTGTAGATACCAGATATACAGTACGTATACATAACAGGTAGAATGCTGTGTATTTCTATAAAGGATATATGCTATATGTTGTGTTGTGTGCTATAGTATATATGCTACTACAGTATATGCTATAAGTTAAAAGCATAAAGCTGTAAAGATAGGTAAAGTGGTGAAATAAGTGGTGGGAAAAAAATTTAGAATAGAAATAAATAAATAATAATTAAATAAAAATTTTGAATATGTCCAATCACGAGGACCACTCAGTTGAAACACAGAATCCAATTCGAATCCATATAGCCGAATCATCTACCAACAAATGTAATACACGATTCAAAAAAAATAAACGATTGTAGTTCAACGAAGAAAATCTCTCCATTTAGACCAGACCCTTACATATCATTTTTTTTAAAAATAAAATTTAGGTATTTGGGCGTAGCAAATCCGGCATAAGTCGGCGTAGTAATGTAGTAATATCGCCAAAGAAATATTCTTGTTCCGCAGTTTTGGGAATTTTCTTCATGCAGTAAGATATGCGGATGCCGGAAGTTAGGAAGAACTGAAGGAAAAAAATCATAAAGATGATGCGTAAAGGAGATAAATCTGTAAAGAAAATACTTTGTAGAAGATTTCATATAAAATATACGTAATACTATATAAAAGGAAAAGATTAAATTTTCTTATTTTCTTTACATAGCTACAAAGGTTATTATAAAATTTAGAGTAACGCTAGTATTGCTATCTACATATTGTGAGTCACAATATAGTATTATAAATTATATATACTGTATATCTGATATGTATGTATACTGTATACTGTATACTGTATAAAATAAAAAAAATTTAATTTATAATAACATAAAAAAAAAAATAATAGTAATGTACAGTACTGTAAAAAAATTTTTATACAGTACCGGTATTATTAATGATAAATACTTATCTTTATTGGTTAATTCTCTCAAAAATTTATATATAAAGGCATGGATTCGATCCTGAGCGAGTATTTCATCTTTCCTAATAATCAATATAGGAGTAAATAAGAAACAACTTTTATTTTTTTTAATAACGATTATTTAATTATTTAATAACGATACTTTAACAAAAAAAATATATTTTCTTTAAAATCTGTTCGCTGCATCTCTTTTCGGTTTATTCTTATGCCATCTTTTGGAAACTCTCATAAAATGTCTACAACAGTTGAACCTACTGTGTGCCTCTCCTCATGGCCAAAAAAGACTCGAAAGTCAACAATGAAACCATGTCCTATCTACACCAAAAACATCATACCATCATCAAATGAAAACTCTCCTAACCGAGAAATTGTATTATCTCCTTTGCCTTCAGGGCATCTTGAAATTGCAAATAAATTTTGGCAGTTTAAAGTTGAAGAAGGTCTAATTACCTACGTACGGTATGGTAGTATTCGGTCTGACGGTAGTCTCAAGGAGCGAGCCATACACGTTCAACATCATTCAAGCTATCTTGATGCAAAAAAATTTGTTGAAAATTTAGTTGATGAAAAAATCAAAGCCGGTTATGTTGGTTGGTCACGTTGGTAACTGAATCTCTGCTTCTCTATCTTATCATCATATTTCCTGATTCGGATCCTTGGTAACGCGCTTGGCAAAGGCTTTCCACATCTATCGCTTCATAACTAGTCATTTCACTCTTTTCACTTTCAATATCGGAAGTGAATAAATATGATAGCCTCGTTATATCAAACGAGACGACATCAGTTTTTTAAAAGTCCTTTTACATTTGTGAAAGGTCAAAAACTATCATGAATCAGTTTTTATTATACAGAAGGAGGAATACTTATAGCATTATAAGCAAGACAGTATGGTGTATGGTACCAATGAACAATAATTAATCCATGCAAATAAAAAAAATTAAACACCTATGCTAGTTTAAAAAAAAAAAATAAAAAAAAATAAAAATAAAAATAAAAACAAAAAAAAAATAACAAATCGAACAATTTCTTTTTAATTTTATAATCTCTAATTATAATATATAACATGCGCTTGTATATTTCTTCTTGCAAACATGAATTTGTTGGTATATCTTACCGCAATATTAATATCATTTATATATAAATATGTAAAGAATTCTTTTTTGATTTTTATGTAGATATATATTTCTTGTTCCTCCATTATTTTATTTTTTTATTTTTCTTTATTTTGTAAATAAATAAAATGTACTTACGTTTAAATTTTATTTCATTTGCACTATATTATTAAAACTATGTATAATTCATTTTGTATTTTTTTCATGCGAACTTTATTGATTAATAATTTCATTCAATAAACTGGTGTTCAAAAACTTTCATAAAATAATTATAGTAATGTATTGAATATTGGCAATTGAAATATACTGTAGAGCACAAAGATAAATGCGTAATTATCTTAAAAAAGTCGCGTATGTCTATTTCGAGCTTTTAGACGTTTCAAGTACCGAGATTTTTTTCGATAAACTTAATCTAAGGCCGAATCGAATAATTGAATAGAATTGATTGGATTGGATAGGATTAAATAGAATTGAATTATATGATTGAATAGAATTGATTTAATTGAATAAAATTAAATATACAGAACTGAATTATTCTAACTATTCTACGTAGCATATGATTATAAGATAATATCAATACAGTAAACTGTCTTTATCAATAATTACTTTATCGACCAATCAGGAAAATTTTTATTCTCCGCGTTATCTAATTTATCATTACTTTATGGTGTTATCGATAAGGACAATTACGCGACCAATTTCGGGATCCCGTATATAAAGTTTGTTCGGAAGCAAACTAGTTCAGCCCATCTCATGCTGGAAAAAAAAGTCTGGAGTACCGAATTTTTTTCAAAAAAGGTTGATCTTTACTTTATCAGGTTTTTCATAATAACGATAACCAAAAATAAGCTGACTTTGTATATTCTTTATACACACCCAATGACCAACTACTTCTTGGTACTCCGTAGCACGAAGTAATCAATGCCTACTTTAATGTATCAGTTCCTTCATGATTATCACAGTACATGAAAAGGATTTTTGTTAATTCATGTACCACCTGACCTTTAAAAAACATTCTCGAGAAACATGGAAGACACAGCAATCGTGGTATTTTGCACCATTCAGGTTCCCTCTCATATTATTAATGCAAATTATCGAAAAAAGTTAATCATTACATAATTTTTTATATCATTATTTCGTAATTTTTTAATATCAATCGAGTTTAACTTAGTCGATGTACAAAAACTGTTTCGCATTTATTTTCAGCATCAATCATTCGTTAGATACTTCCTTTGTTTCGGAACGGTAACGATAAGATAACGGAAACGGGTATTATCCGATTAAAGTATCGACTTACTTTTTAATTTATAAATACAATTATCTCGCTTATATGTTTTCTAGTCGTCGCATATACTTTAGAACTTTCACTAATTTTTCAATACTCACATGAAATTTCAACATTGTCGTAACTTAAATTAGATTTTACACAAAGAAGGGTTTGTTGAACCGTGTACAAATAAATATTTTCTCACGACATTTCATTCAATTTTTTGATCTGTCGTCGATGCTACTAATATTATAAAATACTACTAACAATCGGCGTTTACTCACTAATCATCATCAAATTTTTCTCTGTTGATAAGAGGATTCCAGTCTTATATTAATCTCCGCTTTAAAGTCCGACTCTACCAAAAAGCGGTATTATGCATGTCTATCATTTCAAATGTATTACCCCTTCCATATATACAAAGAAAGAAAGTTTCAGACCTGGGGTAAAAAAAAAAGATCGATGTAATTTTCTCTGTTCATCGTTTAATAGCCCTTTATTTCATAATTTTATATGTAATGGTTTCGTATCTTAAAGTCTATCTTCCCCATCACTGTTCTATCACCTTTAAATGACTTTTGTAGTCTAACCAATGTTAAAAAATCTCTAACCGAATTTAATATCCAAAATCAAAAATAGCCAAGATATGGTTTCACGAATGCATCCCATTATTTTCACTATGTTTGGTCAAGGGCATTTTCAATGGATGAATTAGCTTACCAATTTAACAATAACGATAATGTACTTTATTTGACATGTTTATATATATATATATACTTTATTTTATAACATACATAAAAAACATTTAACATTACTCAAAATCAACTTTACTGTATATGCGCCAATCTTAAACTGTAAATTTTACTGTTATACTGTCTGTATACTGTCTGTTATGCTGTATGCTGCACTTCATTTTATCATTATTATAAAAATATCTTTCCACAGACGCAATTTTTCTTGGCCTCTTCTAAACTTTCAATCTTACTTTCTTTTTCCTCATTTCACAAAAAGAAAAAAAAAGAAAAAAAAAACTCTCACATGCTGGATCATTTACTTTTTGTAAAGCCGCCTAATCAATTTTGAGTTATGATTTACAAAGAAAAAAAAAAAGTGTGGCTAAAAAAAGATTGTGAATTTAGTAAAATGGCTTTGAAGACGGCGCACACCGCAGATTATTCGTTACATATTGATCTTCATATCAATTAACAAATTTATCTCTTTATAGGCAAAAATATATTAAAGGATTAGCACGGGTTTATACGCGAAAAGGACTTTTGTTTAGTATTTAGTTATTTAGTTGTATAGTTCAAATTTGTTGGTTTAAACTTTAAATTATGTCTAAAAAGTATTTATAAAAAAGAATTTATACAAGTTTTATTCTATATTTTTGCAAACTTTAAATCGTTTCTCGCAAAAGAATTTATACGTACGATTTTTGTTTTGCCGATAAGTGTTAATTATAAAATTTTATATGGTAATTTTATTCATTACTATCACTACGTACAGTATATGGCGATAGGCAAATCATATTTTTCTTTGTGAATACTCGTATATTTAATATGTAGTTTTGTTTTTTTTATTGCATATATTGTACGTTTATAATGTTTGTACGTAGTCCACACAAATTTATCTTGACTAAGTTCATTGTATATCTCGAATTTCCTTATATATTTCTCCGAAAATTTCCGATATTCTCGACTAAGCCGGTCCTTAGTCGACTTCATCGACTAACGCAAGTACAGTATTTTGCCAAAAAATATTACATATTTAGATGTATATAAAGTTTAAATCCAATATTATGTATTATATAGTTATAAAAATTTTAAATTTTGCTACGTAATAAACTCTATTTATTAACAAATGGACTGAAATCAAGCAAATTGATATTTTGAAAAAAATTAATACTATATTGATTATTTAATATTGTATATAGTTAAAAAAAACAATAACACTAAATCATACTACTGGTGTTCAACACTATATATATTTTTTGATATTTCGCTAGTAGAATTTAGTGTTATGGTGCTGTTATAGGTTAAGTATTAGGGATAATTTTATATTTATACTGTATAAGATTTTTGGAAGTGCTAAATAGTTTTACTTTAGAACACTATGTATTAATTACTTAGCTAGCTTTTGAGATATAGTAATTGTGGTGTTGAACACTACTGGTGTAATTTAGTAAAACTGTATTGTATATTAATATCTAGTTATAATTTTTTTTAAAAATTATATACTAGTAGTGTTTAATACCAGTATATGTGTAACATAAAAATTATTATACAGTATTTGGTTTTAAAAAATAAGGCATTGTATATATTTTTATTGGATAATTTATATAAGTAATATATAAAAATTTATATACAAATGAATAAATAAATTATATGTTTAAACTAATTTATATACTATATAATCTAAACCTATTAGATTAGTCAAAGTTGGATAGTTGAAATATAGTTAGCAGAGATATTACTATATATTAAATTTATAATTAGCAAGCCTAGTATATAAATAAACAAATAGTATAATTGGTTTAGTAAATTGTATGAACATTTATAAATAAATAAATATTTGTATTTAGTATAAAGGTAAAAAAAAAGTAGTTGAAAAAGTTAAACAAAGAAAGAATTAAAAAAAAATTTTAATATGCTTTTTTCTAGATTAAAAAATTAATACAATATGTTTTTAAAAATTGGATCTTAGTAGTTTAAGCTTCCAACTTTTTACAAACAAGATTAATAGTTAGAATCTAGCTAGAGGTAATTTAATTCTCTCTGTAACCTTCAGAAGCTTTCAAATATAAAGCTTTGTAATATAAATCTATATAATATATATATTTGGCTAATAAAGAATTTTTGAAAAAAAATTTAAGCTATAAAAATAATAGATACTATATATAACCTTAGTTATAAAAAGTCATACTACAGAAGACTATATATATAAAACTTAAAAAAAAAATCTTTAGTATAATACCAATATCTATTCAAGGACTTGATTAAAAAAATAGTTTTATATAATATAACTAAAACAATAAGAGAAGCAATAAACATAATAAGGGTTAGAGTTTCATAATCTAGTAGTTTAGATGCCTAACTCTCTACAGACAAGATTAATAGTTCAATTATAGCTAGTAATAATTAATTAAATTAATTACCTCTGTATCTTTCAGGTGCTTTTAAATATAAAACTCTATAGCAGTAAAACTATGTGAAATATATATTTGGCCAA